CTAAACAAAAACAAAGCCACACCTTTCTAAAACAGCCTGATAAGCAGGAGGAGCCACAGCTTTTGAAATGCACAGACTGGGCCCCCTCAAAACTTAACAACAGCAATTCCTGTACAACAAATCCAGGAACTGGAAACTGAGGCTGGTCCTTTCCATTTTCTTGCTCCAGAGGTGAAATGGTGTTGTCATTATATTGCAAGAATTTTATTGCCATTATATTGCAAAGGTTCCACATTGCTAGAGTTCCCTACCTCCTTAATGTTTCTCATAGGCATCTCCTCCAAGCACTGACTCTTCCTTCTCACAGCAGCAAACTGACTCAGTTTCCCCTGAACCAACCAACCCACTCTTTTATAACACTCTTCTTATTATCAGCTACAGCTGAGGCCTCTTAAAATCAGGTCTGCTCCTAATCTTTAATAATTAGCCCAGCTGCAACTCTTTAGGAGGTAAGAATACTTTCTATACTACCTTTATTTTCTTATATTCTATCCCCCTTTTTCTTTTAATTATAGAGTTGCAGCATTTCTAGAAGTACATGTTCAAATAAATTAACATTATGACACATTCATATATTTCATTCAGAACTAAGAGTTATACAAACGTTCAGACAACGTATTACAGTACAAATATATACATTTCTAAGTGTTGGTTCAGTTTTGCAGCTTTTCTCAGTTTACAAAGTGTTTATCTTCAAAATCTTTTATACTCATGTTTATCAAACATTAATAGCTGTAATTGATATATTTTGCCAATCAATAAACACATTGTACTAAATAGAACTGCTCCTTTTCCAGTTCTTACAGTTGCTTTAGTAAATTCTCTCCTCTCTCTTTCAGTTTTGTTGCTTTTCCTCACACAGTTCTCTACCCAGATCACCAAGGGATTACATTTTTTAATGTTTAAGTCTTCTTTCCTAAATCACCACAGGATCACATTGGTCAATACTTAAGTCCTTTTTCCAAATCACTATGGAGTCATATAGTTTTGTATTTAAATCCTTTTTCCCAAGTCCACAGGGTCATATAGCTTAGTATTTGAGTCCTTTTTCCCAAATCACATCAGGGTCACCATTTGTTTTCATTATACTGTAAGAGCTCTATTGCCATTATATTGCAAAGGTTCCACATTGCTAGAGTTTTGTACTCCTTGGTGTTTCTCACAGGCAGCTCCTCCAAGCATTGACTCTTCCTTCTTCTCACAGCAGCCAACTGACTCCAGAAGCCCTCAACCAACAAATCCACTCTTTTATAGCACTCTTCTTACTATTGGCTACAGCTGTGGCCTGTTAAAATCAGGCCTGCTCCTAATCTTTAATAACTAACCCAGCTGCAACGCTTTTAGGGGGTAAGATTACTTTCTATACTACCTTTATTTTCTTATATTCTATCCCCCTACAGAATGAGATCTGCTTTTCAGCTTAGGCTGTGGTTATCTCTAGAACCCGAGAGAACACTGGCAATGCTGAAATCCCATAACATTCCATGAGCTCAGGCAGGGAACTGCTTGATGAATAGGCCTGTGATAACGTGCAGGAAGGAAATTTCATTTTAGTCTTATGGAGCCTATTAAAAAAACAAAAAAAAAAAAAAACCACCAAACCCTAAAAAACCCAAACAACCCAGCACAGAAAAAATGGAATGTCTTAATTATGTTCATTTCATTATATAGTTCAGGATAATTCTGAGTATGACCAGGCAGTAGATGTGGTGATTAAGGAGAGAGCCCTGAGTGGGCCAGAGTTCCTGGTCTGGGGAAGTTGGGAACAGATCAGCAGGGTGGGAAAGCTGGGGAGCTTTGAACAAGTGGGGAACCAGAAGATGGAAGGACACAGGGAAGGGATGCCAGGCTTGGGAAGACAGGAGCACATCTCTGTTTGTGTGCTTTGATTACCTGCAGGATGGGTCAGAGCCTGGCAGAGCTGCAGGGAGACACAGCTCATCCCTGGAGCTCACAACCTGGTGTTGGTTTTCTTAGGTTTTACAGAGACAGGACAACTGAGAGGCACTTTAAAAGATTTTATTCTATTATCAGTCTTGATGAATAGTGAGACAAAAGAGATGTAAAACTCAACACTATTCTATCAAAAGCTAACTTATTTCTTGGTTACAATATTTTATAAATGTTTTTCAGTTCATTAGTTTTGTTACACAATGTCATTATTACTTCTAACACTAATCACCTATATTTCTTTTCTCCACGTGGTCTTGCTATAATGCGTCTTTCAAAGTTCTAATGCTCTAAAATATCTAGTCTTTTTGTAAGGCTATATTTTGAAACTTGTTGAAACTTGGTTTTAGTTTAATTTCTCTCTCAACAATGTAATTTCTATTCTATGGCTTTCTTAAGTTAGCACACTTTATCTTAGTCTTTGTATAGAGATGCACAAGACTGTCTGAGCTTTCTGTCAGGTTTTGGGAATTCTTTACCAATCTATCTATTGCCCACAGTCCAGGACATCACTTTTGCTTGGAAATGGTTTTTAAGGCATTGGGGGATGGGGGGGGGAGGTGTAATTTTTCCTTTTTCTTTTCCACTTGGAGATAGCACACGGGGTTAGAGGAGTAGTAGTACTTCCCTGTAGGATTTTCCCTAGAGGGAGTGGCAAGGCTTGGCTGCTTGGCTTGGTCAAAAGTCCCCGAGCAAAGGGGAGCAAAGAGAGCAAAAAGTGAAGAAATCTGAGATGGGAAGGGTCAGGAATGTGACTTCCCTCATCTTGAGCAGCTCTGTGTTCTAAAGGCTCACATTTGTGGCAATGCTTCTGCTGGGGGGACTTTCTCTGCTCTCAGGCCTTTCCCTGGGGACTGAACAAATGTGACTCCAAACCCAGCAGCTCCAGAGCTGACCTTCATTTTACAAAGCTCCCAAACACGAAATGCAGGGATACTTATCTCTGAGGAATGGAAATGCTCAGACCCACATGCTGATTACAAGCCTGTCACACTGGAAGCTGCCAGGATGGAGTTTACCCACAGCTCAGCACCACTTCCTCCAAGCAAAGGTCTCAGCTCTTCCTGGGGATTCTGCAGGGTTTTCCTCTGCCAGGTGATCAATACTGTTGGCACAGAAGGAGGAGGAATTTGTGGTTGCTGTTTCTGCAGGAATGGTGGGAAAAGAATGGGGATCAATAATCCCCAGCAAGAGCTGCCTGAAATGATGAGCAGTAAGAAATATTCCAGGAGCTGAGATTGGCTGTGTGATCTCATGCAGTGACTGCTCTCAAAAGCAGCTTTTAACTTCCTTTGTTTATTTATTTTTATTCCTTTTTAACTTCCTTTATTTCTGAGACCATCAACATTTGCTACCTCGGGTTTCACTTCCCCATGAAGAATAAACACCTCAAAAGGTTTTGAGTACAAACTCTGTCAGAGCTTGGCTGAAAAATCTGCCTAGGCTGTGCCCAGAACTTATGGAGAATTGCAATGGCAATGTGAGGAAAAAGGAGAAATGAATAGGAATGGATGAGACAATTCCATTTTATTTTAAACCATTGTATTTTGTGGTCAAAAAGCCTCAAGTGCTTCACATGTTGACAGAAAAACTGCGTTTTGCTTGGGGAAAAAAGGTGATTTCAGCCCCCATGTATGGGGCTTGGAGAAGTACATCCATAGAAACTAAATCTTGTAAATACAATGGAATTAAGAAAATACAATGGTATTACCAAAATCTTTTTGTTGAACAGTGAAAAGGACTTTCAACAATTGAAGATTTCGTTTTATACATCATTTATTCAACTGAAATAATTAGGCTGGGTGATTTATTACATGTCCCATAACCTGTTATGCAAAACGAAGCGATTTGTAAAGCAAATATCTAACACAAAATGACAAAGCGTTGAGCTGCTCCAGAAAATGCAGATACATGGAAAGCAGAAGCACAAGGAGCAATATTTACAGATGGAATGGAGGGGGAGAATCTGCCCATTGAGTGACCAGTTCTTGTGGATTATCAGCTTGAATTAACTCCTGGGGACCAAGAACCAGGATGGAAACAAGGGCAAGGACTTGGTGAGAAAGGGCTGTGAGACATCTCCATTATGGTGATGGGAACCATCAGGTTGGCCCAGTTGTTCAAGGAACTGGGTTTTTTTACTTTTTTCCAATGTCACTAACTGTGTGGATCCACGAATAAAGAGAGCAAAGAAAAAAACCACAACAATTAAAAAAACAACGGTACAAATACAGTCTCAAATTGTTTATTTTAACCAAAATTTCCTACATCCATGTGCAAATACTGTTAACTGGGTTTTCAGGGATTTCTGTTCCCAAAGTCCCATTAATTCCAAGACAAGTCAATAAATACCAAATCCTTTCCCATTTAGCTCCCAGCCTTCTCAGGGTAGTGGCATTTCATTTCCAGCTGTGCCTTACCAAGCAGCTGGAACATTCACCCAAAAATTCCCTTTGCCTCACAGAAACCCCCATGTTGTCTTTTATTTATTAACACTGAAATAATTAATATTGAAAGAATAAATTACTAGCATATTAGTAAAGGTATACTGAGTGGTGGCAAGAAGTAAAGGTTTACTGAGTGGTGGCAGCTTTTAGTGAGTAAAACGTGTAGGACTAAAATCACACACGTTACGTGGGGCTCGTAGGGACATACAGGGATGTATCTGGAGATGCAAATCCCAGCCCGACAGACAGATGAAGCAACTGCTCCCGGCCACTGAGCTGCGGCTATTAGGGCTCAGTTACAGCCGTGACGGGCTCCCCCGGTGTGGGGACCCGCCGCAGGGCACAGAAAGGCGCTTTGGAGGCGTTCATGCCGGGAGCGGGCGGGGGACGGCCCGGCAGCCCCGCAGGAACCCCCGGGCTCCCCTCAGGGCCGCCCCACCATTGTGTCTGCCGCGGGGCCGCCCGCCGCGCGCCTGAAGGACCGGCCACGCCGCGCCTCCCCCGCGCGGGCAAAGCGGCAGCTGCCGCCACGGGCTCAGGCGTTCTCTGCGGGAACCCGCGGGCCGGCCAGGACCCCGCGCGCTCCCGCGCCGCCTCGCCTCTACGCGCCGGCGTGCGCGCCGCCGCTGCCTCTCTCTCCCTGCCTCCCTCTCTCTTCTCTCTCTCTCTCCCTACCGTGGTAGCAGGAGCAGCGCGGGCGGCGGGGCTGGAGCGTGGCTGAGGCGGCCATTCCTACCGAGCGAGAGAGAGCGCAGCGTGTCCCCCCCGGGCTCAGTCGCGCACAGGGTGAGGAGGGCGGCGCGGCCCCTCCGGACACCCCGAGCGGGGCGGGGGGGGAAAGGGCAGCGTGAAGGCAAAATGACCGTTGGGCGCGAGGCGGCCGCCCCGCGCCGTCACGTGACCACCGCCGCCCCGCGCGCGCCGAGGGAGGGAGGGGCGGCTTTGGGGGGCCCCTCAGGGGCGCGCGCGCCGAGGCAGGTGCGGCTCGTGCGCGCGCGGTCGCGTGCGCGCTCCCGCGCGTCCCCGCCGCCCGCGCTCCCCCCGTGACGCGCCCGCCGCTCTCTCCGCTCTCTTGTCTCTCTCTCTCTCCCGCCCGCCCTCCCTCCTTCACAGAGATGCCCTCGGCTACCAACAGCACCATGGCGAGCAGCACCACCGGCAGCAGCACCGGCAAAGCGGGACCGGGCAGCGAGGCTGCCCCGGCGGCGGCGGCCCCGCAGGCGGCGGCGGGTGTGAACATCACCACGGTGCAGACCGAGGCCATGAAGCAGATCCTGGGGGTCATCGACAAGAAGCTGCGCAACCTGGAGAAGAAGAAGGTGATCCCCACGTCCCCTCAGACTCCCCCCCCCCAGCCTTATCCCCCGCCTTCGGCCGCCCCTGCCCCCGAGCCGATCCGGCCTGTTTCCCTTCCGCTCCCTTGTGCCGGGCCCTCCGCCGAGCCCTCTCGGATTGTTCCCGGCGTGGCCCCCAGAGGCCGCCTGCTGGAAGGTTCCAGAAGGGCGAGCGCCGCTCCCCCGGCCTGTCCCCTTCCTCTCCCGGGGTTCCCCTGCCCCGTTCCGGCCGCCCTCCCGGCGCCCCGGGACCCGGCCCGGTTTCCCCCCGGCTCGCGGAGCAGAGCCCGGAGGGGCCGCGGCTGCCGACCCCCCTTGGCCCCCGCTGCCCGGAGCCCCCTCGGCGGCGCCGCTCCCTTCCCCTTCCCCCTCCTTCCGCCTTTTGTTCCCGCGGCGGGGCCTTTCCCAGCCGCGCCATCCCGGCAGTCCGCTCCCCACATCCCCGCTCCGTGCGGCGGCCGGAGCGCGCCCGGTGCCGCGGGGCGGGCGGGCAGAGGCTGCGGTGCCCCCGGTGCCGGGCACATGGACGCGGAGCTGTAACATGGCGGCGGCCCGGCCTCCCCGGCGGAGCTCATTGTGCCGCCCGCACAAAGCCGGGGCCACCCTACCCCGCCCCAGTGTCACCGCTCGCTTTCCATCGCCCTAAGCTCAACTCTTTGGGAGCCTGAGCCCGGCTGGAAGCGGCCTTTCTCGGGTTATTTTTAGAAAGAGCAGCTACTCAATCCCTGGTGCTCGGACGGTTCGAGTTGTGGCACGAGAGGAAAAGGCTGCCGTGGTTACTCGCGGCGTGTTTTGCACCCTCTCGGTGGTGGCAGATTAAATGAGCTTCGCAGGGCTTTACAACCTCCGGAGCATGAGGTGTCTATCAGAAAAAGAGTTAATACGTAGCCTCAAGACTTGCCTCAAAACACCACAGTGCCAAGCTAAAATTACCCCCAAAAATTTTATATTTGTGCCAGATTCCTAAATATCTTATTATTTTTAGAAGTGAATAAGCACAATAAGTGTTCTATTAATCTTTTTAACTGTCACTTTTGATATTTTTCATAGTGTTCTATATTGTATAAGGTGGAAGTATTTCCAGTAAATTAGTCTGTACAGGTGGGTTGTAAAGGAGAGAAGCTGTGCCTTACCTATAAATAATACACTGTGTGTCAATAATACACTGTGTAAATACACTGTGTACAGTGTAGCTTCCCACTTCAAAACTGGGTGTGGGATTTTCCTGGCTTTTAGAAATGACATGGCAAAAAGCAGCAAGCCAGGACATTTTAGGTAAGTTTTAGAATCAGAGGAGCTTTTCCTCCATGTCTGTTGTGTGTAGACAGGATAAGATGTCTGTCTTAAACTTGGCATTAATACACAGGAATATCTGCACAGCCAGTACTGGTCCTTGCTCGAGACAGAAAGCAGATCTTTCTGTCTCTAGTTGTTCTAATACAAAAAAAAATTTGTTTGAAAATTAACTGTTGCACCCAACATCCACAAAAATCCTCTGAAAATATTTTTATCATGTTGAAAGCATGTGTTTTAAAAACCAGAATTAGTTCGTGAACATTCTGACCTGTTCTGTACTTGGGAGTAATCAAGAGGATAAACACAGTGTTACTGGTGTGAGGGTCCTTTGGAGCAGTGGTTTTATTTACTTTTAAATAATTTACACTTGCCTTAGCCATTCTATTCTATTTGAGTGGAGTTTTAGTGTTTTACCAAGTGAGTAGAGGGGACAAAGTGCCCTTTTTTTCTGGACATGGCTTTTGTTGGAAGATGTTCCATGAAAATTACTGAAAGCATTTATTTTTTTAAATACTTTGTGCTGGGCAATGTGGGCTTAAAGAACAGGCAAGGGCCCGGGCTTAAAAAGGAAAAAACTCAGTGTTGTCTCTCACTGATGAATTAAAGTTCAAAGATTCCTAAGTCTTAAAGGGCTGAAGTTGTGAAACTTTTTGAAGGAGGACTCATAAGCACTACAAAAGTTCTGATAGAAATGGGGTTTGGTGGATTAAAGCAGAGAAACTCATTTGTGGGCTTGAGCCTCTCCTTGGTGGGGGAACCAAGAGTTCTGTAGTGAATGATGTCCTTTGGTAAAGGGAGCAGTACATGCTTTGTGTCTTAAAACAAAGCTCACTGTGCACAGCAGCATTTCCTTACATTTTGCATCTTTGGACAAGAATATATTTTTAATTTTTCCAAGCATCCAGAAAGTAAAATTGTTCTGGAAACTGCAGAGCCAGGAGTGGGTGAGAAATGCAGTAAATCTCACTGGGAACTTGTGCTCAGTTGGACAGTTAATCCTTCCTTTGTCAGCAGCTGCTAACCAAGGCCAGTAGAGATGATTTTCAGAGCTTTGTGTCACAGGATGAACACAAATAAATACTTAGACACACATTTCTGAAGGATGAAAAATTACTGCTCTGGAAGAGGTACCATCTTAGCTTTTAAATAAAAGCAGTGTGCAGCTTTTAGTAGAGGAAAGGTCACTCTTCATAGAAAAATTTGAATTTTGGAGTGAAGTTTGTCACGTTAACCTGCAAACGGAGAGGATAAAATAATGTGACTACCAAAATTCAAATTGAAATAATATTTATAACTTTGGTTAATGTGACTACCAAAATTCAAATTGAAATAATATTTAGAACTTTGGTTAATGTGACTACCAAAATTCAAATTGAAATAATATTTAGAACTTTGGTTAATGTGACTACCAAAATTCAAATTGAAATAATATTTAGAACTTTGGTTTATATTAGTTTGAATGTTTCTGTATAAACTAAAACCACTGCATTATTAGTTACACTTTCATTTTCTTTTCCTACATGCGACCTCATTTAAAAGAATGAGTATTTCTTTTGTTAAAAGGGACTGGGATAAATTGAATTGCTGTTCAGAAGTGGATGTGAAAACATGGCCTGAAAACCATGTCTGTGTTCCCCTCAGCTCTTTGTGTTTGGAGAAGATAGGAGTGCTGTCCTCTGCTCTTAGATGACAAGATATTTGTGTGTGCATGAAAGGGGGTAATTAATGGGGTATTTTCTCTCCAGGACCTGTGGATGTGGAGCTCAAGTTTATGTTGACAAGCTTAGGTAATTTGAAAGTTGCCTGGGCTCCTCCAGGTGTTTGTCAGGTATCTGGGGTTAGAATCCTGCCAGCTGTCCACGTTCCCTGGGAAAAAATATTTCACCTTCAATTTCTCCTTCTCCCCGACTCTTCTGGTTTTTGTTTTTAGAGGAGAAAATCCTTTCCAAATTTTAAGCCAATTGAATGTGGATCAAACTCTGGTTTTGTTTCAGGGCTGAATAAAAAAACCCCAGTTGTTTTTGCTTTCATCTTGTGTAATAGGGCATGAGCCATGTAAGAACAGTTCATCAAACAAACGTTCTGCCAGAGGGGCAAAATAATTCATGTGCTACCAGGGGCCATGGGGATGGGCAGATGTTCACAGGGTAACATGTGAGCTCAGAGCTTGGTGTGAGCTGGGTGTGTGGCGTTGGAAACATGGCACATCCAGCCTGCCCTGGTAACCTGAGCTGCTGTCACTTTATCAGCTTGTCTGAGTTTCCTGCTGCCTGTAACCCTGGCTGGGTGCAGAGTGAGCAGCTCACAGGTGCTGCTGGCCTGGCTGCACAAGAGCTCTCACAGCACACCAGGGGCACATCTGAACTTGATGTGACTTGGTCCAGTAAAATTGGATTGAAATCCCATTGAATTTCCCTTGGGAAACAGGAACCTGTAGTAAAAGCTGGGGTCAGTTTTCCATTCTGGTAGCAGGAAGTTTGAAGCTGCCCATTGGTAGCAGCTCTCTCAGTGTTTTTGTCCATGATTGGGGCCCCTTGGATGTTCAGGCTTGTGAGTGGCTCCAGAACCTCTCCTTGGGAGGTTTGGTTTGAAATTCATCTTTGGAGATTTAACATGGAACAAATTGTAAAATTCATTTCAGACAGTGTATTATAAGCCCGAATCTTTGAAACCCCTCTTAGTAGGAATTTTTGATATCAAACTTCAGGTCAGAAAACCCAAGCAGTTTATCTGTGAAATCTTGTGGTGGCTGGTGCTTTGAGGTTTCAGGCTGGTCTGTTTTGGTTTTAACTGGTTATTGTAGAATAGGGATTGTCTCTCAGCGAGTTCAGTTAACTGGATGCATGATGAGTCCAAGGAGCTGTGAAACATCTTCTAGTTTCAGTTTTTCAGATGCTGCTTTGGGGCTTGGATCGTGATTTTTGTTTAAAGAAAAAGACATGCAGAATGTGTTGGGAGAGACACATTTGTGCTCTAGAATTCACTTGTAAAAGTAACTTTTTGGAACAAAAATTATGTGGAGAGCAAAATCCACGTCTCCTACAGTGTAGTCAACTTCCCTGTAAATTCAGAATGTTTCTGTAGGAAATCCTGTGTGGTGGTGATTTGGAAAGAGCATCTCTGCAGTCACCAAAACCTGGGGTTCCACTCCTCTGTGGCTTAATTCTGGTTACTGAGGAAGCTTTTTCTGCCTCTGGGGTTAACTGATCGTGAAACTGCAGTCTCAGAACTGATGTGTCCTTGTCCTTTGTTTCAAAACTAATACATTATGCTGATATTTTTTCTAAACCATCAAACTTCCCAGACTGTGGGGAAAAACCCTCCCACGAGAATATCTACTACTGTTACTCAAAAAATCAATTCCATTTAAACAGAGGACCTGGAAGTGTTGTGTGTCCTGGAGCATTGGTGTTATTGTATCCTTCCATCTTCCTGCTTCCAGCTCAGGTCTGAAACAGCTGCTCAGAACTGGTGGGGTTTGAGAGGTTCTGAACTTCCTTGCTAAGTGTTTTACTTTTTCCTTTTTTTGAGGAAATAGAAGACTGGTTTTTGTTTGTGGGTTTTTTGGGTCATTTCTGGGCAGTTTTAGCTGCAAAGCCATGAATAAGTATGGAGGACAGACAAATTACAATGCAAAGATGTAAAAGAGGTTAACAAACTTCTAATTTTTAATTTGGCTTTTTTTTTTTTTTTTGCTTCAATGCAAACTGTATTGCACAGCTGTTTTAAATTTTTGATTTTTCTAATTGCTTTTGTGCTGTCAAAAACATTCATTCAGTTTTTGAGATACCTGAGGAGACAAACTTGGAATGTCCTTTCCATCTTTTCTTACCTTCTGTGGTTGAGTTTGAATTACTACAGATTGACTCCAGCTGCTGGCAGAGGTTCCCTTGTCACCTTGCAGCTTGTTGTGCACACTTGTGCTGCTGTAATTGGCAGAACCACAGCATTGAAATTACCTGGTTAAATATAGAGCCTCCCTCCTGCTCCTGACCCCCTTTTTTAAGGGTTATTTTTAATCTGATGATTCCAGTGATCCAGTTTGCAGCACAGCACTGGAAGTGGTGGCTCAGTGGTCAGGCATTTCTAAAACCAGGCTGGGTTTGGAGGGTAATGCCAGGTAACTGCAGTTTTGTTTCCACTTCAGGATGATGTTTTTGAGACAGTTCAGAGGAGGTGAAGAGAATTGTCTGTTAGTGCAATACAGTAACTGAGTTTTGGATTCCCATGAAAGTAAAATCCAGGGTGTAGTTCAGCAGTGAGCACCACAGTCCCAAGAGCCTGTTAGTGGTGCTTTTTCCCCAGGAAGCCCAGAATGCTTCAGGTATCTCAGGAAAGAGCTGGAGCAGAGTGGCTGGCTGCCTGCAGGACTGGAGCTGCTGACTCACCAGCTGCTCAGTGCACAATTCATGTGCTCACTTTGCCACTGGGTTATTTTTTTCCTGCTGGTTTGGTTTTTGTGCTCTGAGATCTCTGTGTGAGGAGTGAGGTGAAGTTGTGTAAGGAGGGGTGAGATGGAGAGAGTCTTCCCCTCTTGCAGGCACTGCAGTGGCTTCCTGAGCAGGAATTGCACTGCAGTTGTTTTACAGCTCTAGTGCTGCTCCTGGATTGCTGCTAGTTGACAGTGCAGATTAAAAAGGAAGGCATTTCACTTAATATTTCTGTGTAATGCAGCTTTGGATCTTAAAAGTGTCTTTGTGATGATAGAAGAATGCTTACTTGGCAGTCCAAATCTTTGTGGTAACATTTAACTAAATGCACATTGGCTTGTCCTCTGCATTGCAGCTGACAGGGCTTTCCTTCCTTTTACCTTCCCAACAGGAATGTTTTGTAAGAAGTAAATGTGAAGACAAGTAACTTTTCTTCTATTCCTAACAGAAAGAGACATTTTACCCTTGGCTTTTTAGTTGAATAAAAATAAGCAAAGCATTTACATTAGACCTAAGAATATTTGACCATTCAAGAAAAACCTTGTGCATTGTTCACTATGTTACTGCAATAGCTTAATCTGAAAGGACCAACCATGCATGGAAAAAGTATTCAGAAAAAATTGTAGTTATTTAGGATATTTTTGCCTCTTCCCTTCCTTGTGCCCTCAGCCACAAAAGGGATTCTGTGAGTGTTTCAGTGTCATTTTGCAATATATGTTGTTTTTTTCAACAAAGTCAAACAAAGTAGTGTTCTGGAATACAGCGTTCCACCCATTTTGTTTCACTGGTGTTGTTTGTGGGTTTGTGTTGGAAACTGGATCACAAAATTTGTTTTAGTGCATTTTTGTAGCCCCTGCTCAAGCTGGCTCGTGTTTGCAGTGTATTTACTGAGCAGCCTCACAAACAATTGCATCAGGGTGACCAGGGGAATTGCAATCTGCAGCAGGGGAGGCGGTGACTTGAGCAAGTAGGAACTTCCTTGGGACTTTGCTTGTGTGCAGAGCCCCTTTGCTTTGGGATTCAGCCATCAGAGGGGTGGGCTGACCTGGCTTTGCCCTGGGCCACTGCAGTGCTTCAGTTCTTTCACCTCCCTTCAGCTGCACAGCTCAGCCACGCTCTCCCAAATCAAGAGACTGTCCTGTGATTGTCCAAGCATGTCATCATCTGCTCTCTGCTCTGAGATCAGGATGGAGAAGAGTAACCTGACCTTATTTCCTGTTGAGATAGATTTGCAGTGTGCCAAATGCTCTCCAGGGCTGCTTTTTTGATCTGTTATGAGCTGTGGCTGCTGCATTTAACAACTGTTACCATGTAGTTTCTGTCCCCAGCATGAAACTCCCAGTAATGTATTTTTGGAGCTCTGCAAGTTCTTGCTTTGACTTTGCCTGGGCCATTGCTGGCTCTGATACACTGGAAGGTGAAGTAGTTAAATGTTCTGTCTGACCTGCAGGACTTAAAAAGATCCAGCACCAAAAATGACATCAAAAGGACCAAGCCTCATAAGGGTGATAGGGTTTCAGGAAATAATGATGGGCATCAAATGCTTAGGAAGAGGAGCTTGCTTGATAAACTGTTCCACAGACTTTGATCTTTCCAAAAGTCTGAGACTGAGCATAGAATAGAAGTTGAATTAGCTAGAAAAGTACCAGTAAAGTATTTTAACTGAAAAGTCTGAAATGAAGAGCAGCAGCAGCCAAACAAGGTGTCACTCTGTGCAAATGTAAACCCTGAGACAGTGGTGCCATCTTTGACATCCAAAATTAAGTGTTCTCCTGCTTCTTGTGTTTTGTTATCCTAGATTGGGAAGACAATTGTTAAGGATTTGTTTTAATAACTTTTTGAATTAGATCATGGCAAATTTCATTCCAGATGCAGTAATTTGTGCTAATACAGAAATGGTGAGAACAATGTAATAATTAGGTGTGTTACCTTTAGAGGCTTTGCTTCCTTTTGAAGGGCCTTTGTAGTTAGCTGTAGAATCTGTCACTGGGCCACACAAGAGTTTGATTCTGGCTGATGCCCCTCTGCTGTGTGGTTTCTGTTGAAGCAGATGAGAAAACTGATCCTGCTGAAAAGTAGCCTCATGATTCTTTTTTCAGTTTCTTCCTGTGGAAAAAAAAATCCTAATTCTCCTGTACAAAAACTATTTTAGAGCTATTAATATGAATTGTGTTGGTGGGCATTCTTGCACAGAGGATTAGAAACTGTTTAAAATTCTTTACAACTATCTTAAGGGCTGGAGCTACAGAGGATCACAGTTCTGAATCTTAATAGCCTTGTCAGTGGGGGTTTGCAGTCAGATTTTTGCTATTGTAGTGATAAAGTGGTGCTAAACTCTACCTCAGCCCTCAGTTCAGCTCTCTGGTGTTTGGCCTGAAGGATGTGCATGGGGAGTGCTCGTCCCCTTAGGAGGAATGTGAATTTCCTTGGAAATTCCAGCCAGCCACGAAGACATTGTAATAGCCAAATAAGATAAAAATATTTACCTCTTGGGAAAATACTTACATTTAACCCAGAGGACAGTTTTCCTCTTGTACACTTCCTACAGGACAGTTATGTTCTTGTGCAACATGGTACAGTCTGTGTAGTGTAATATTAGAGTGCATCATTCTGTTAGCACAAGTGGAACAAAGCTTTAAACTGATTTTTGCCTCTTCATAACAGCATTTTTCTTTTGTTTCAGAGCAAACTTGATGATTACCAGGAACGAATGAACAAGGGAGAACGTCTGAATCAAGATCAACTGGTAAAAACAACCAAAAAAATCCTAACCAGATCTGTTAAATTGTTTTGTTACCTTTGTGATGAGGAGTTTTTCCTGCCTCTCTCCTTTCTGGGGCTGGTTCTTAAAGTAGGTTATTGCAGAGCCTGATTCAGCAGCAGTTTTGCAATTGTAAATAAAAAGCAAGTATCAATTTCAATTCAGTTGTATGGTGCAAATATGCACATTGATACTTCAAGAAATTACCAGATGCTCAGTCTTATGTGAAGTTGAATCTTTAACAATTATCTTACCAGTCTAGGATAAACAGTGTTTGTGGATGATTTTTAACACTGAGAAAGTGAAGGGACAAAAATGTACCTTCCAACTATTGCAGCTGCTGACACTTTAGAGAAAGAGCTGCTTCCTTTGGTCCCTTGGATTGATTTCATCTTCATTTTGGTGGTTCTGTGCCAGCTGAGAACTGAAACATCACAGATCTGTGTATTTGGATTTTGTAATGGCCTGTTGTGAAGATAAACCACGACAGAGAACTGACATCATGTTCAGGAGGGAAGCTCATGGTTTTTATGAAGCCTGACCACCAGGCTTGATAAAAATAAATGTTAGTTTGGAGAAATGCATTCTTTTGTCACAGCAGGAATGTAAATGTCTCAGCCATATCCTCCTGATTTGATAGAATTTCTCAGTAATTCCAAATGGGTTGAGGAATTTGGTTTGCTTTGGTTTGCAGATCAGAGTGTTAGGTTTAAGAAGATAGCAAAAGCAAAGATTTCTGGAGAAGGGGACATTATGCTCTGTATATTCTGATTGTGGCTCTGACTGGAGATAACAATGCATTAATTCTCAAACTCTTGAGCAGTTCTGAGTTGCCAGATTGTTCTTCTCCCCCATTCCTCCAGTTGTTTGTTAGTTTCTGTCAGGAGCTGGCTGCAGCCAAACATGAAACCAGTCCATCATCCATGTGAGCACATGAAGGCATATTTCTGTGCATGTTTAGCATATCTAAAGAAACTGGAGGCCCTAAGGACATACACAAGTCTTTGATATCTGGGCCAGTAAAAATCTAAATTTACCTTAACATAGTTGCAGTCCCATTCAGGGATCCTGTGTCTCACTTTAGAACTAAAAGATGTGGAAATTTTTTTGTTGGAAGTATGTATTCAGTTCTGTTGCTGATGGTTTACATTTGTGGTCTTTCTGGGTTTTTTTTTAAGGATGCAGTGTCAAAGTACCAGGAAGTGACAAATAATCTGGAATTTGCTAAGGAACTGCAGAGGAGTTTTATGGCTCTGAGCCAAGATGTAAGTAAAGATCAAGCATTGCCATGTGGGTTATCCAAACACTTTAAACTCTTCCACTGAGGCAGTAGTCACCTCTGTTTACAGAGATAAATTGCCCTTGATTTCTTCTATGTTTGGCTGTTTTCTTCTATTTTTTTATATTAGTTGATGTCAGGTTTTCTGAAGAATTCCTGATGTACTGCATAAATGTATGGAAACAAGAATAATGTAATTTTCTGACACAACACAAGTGTTGAAAGTAGTGATCACAGAACCAGGTCTGTCATGCAACATTAAAGATGGCCACTTGCTGCCATTGGTAACGTTTTCTTAAATGGATTTCATAGGGTTTTCATTTCTTGGTAACACACTCTGAAACTACATTATGGGGCTATGTTACTTTTGTAAAGGGTAAATTAACTGGATACTATGAAATAGGTAATCTTTTGGGTTCGTGTTTTATCAAGGATGCAGAGTAATACTGTAATCAAGAATTAAATTGTGAAAATTTGGGAGTTGTGGAAAGAGCAGCAGCGTTGGAGGAATTGGCTGAGCAGTGGATGTTGGTACAGCTGACTGCTCTAAGAGCAGACTTAGCTTGTGAACAGGCTGGGATAATTTGAAGGGCAGCAGCATCCTTGTGTTATAAACTGCTTTGTGCATTGGCTGTGGCTGTAAATTAATTGTAGGACTCAGCCAACTTGTTTCTCTATTTTCTGGCATCACAGTTCATCTGTTTATGGAATGTTAGTAATGGAGAACGTCCTTTTCTGGATAAGTCTGTTCTGAAGTGTTTCCCTGGTCAGCTGACTGCAAAAACAAGGCAGTGAATGCAGGAGTACCAGATTGGTGCTCTGCTTTCAAACTTGGTGGTAGCTTTTCCTGACTGCAGTTAGTTGATTTTAAGATATGTCTGATTTTTAAAAACAAAATTTGGATGTTTCAAGTGGGAAAGTTACCATCAGGGTAGATTTTTTGGACGAGAATATTACATTTCCAGCTGAATATGGGACACTGGATGCTTGGATTAAGAGTGGAAGAAACATCCTGTACATTCAGAGTGGTGCTGCTTTTAGACCTTGTGGAAGGTTCAGTGCAGAGCACAAGGCTGCTGCTGATGTGTCATCCTCTCCCTCCTTGCACTGGGAATGCTGCAGTGGATGCACATGCTTGTTCCCTGGGCTGTGCAGCTGGGGATCTCGTGTCCAAGAATTTGTTGAAATCCGTTTTTGGACTTGCTGGTCTGTCTGTCTATCTCCCCAGCCTTTCATGTCAAAACATTCCATGAGTTTCCTCTTGTGGTGTGTGACAAACCAGTCTTCTGTTTATCAGTTTTAAGCTGATCTCCTGGTAGTTCCAGTGAATGCTTCCTGCTCTGGTGGGATATGGTGAATAACCCTGTTCCTGCTCTCTGTGTGGCCACTGTGAACAACCTGCATCACCCAAGCCTTTCCCAATGGAAGAACCCAACACTTGGGCTTTTCCCTTGCCTTCCTCTGTGTCACAGAGAAAAAATGTGGGCCTTTGTCGGGGATGACCATTTGTCGGTGAGGGGAGACTCAGACACTCAATATGAGTGATAAGCAAATTCTGTTTATTGAAGAGAGCATCAGACATTTATACAGCGAGTAATAAGCTTATGAATATTCTGTAAGCTAAGCAATCTATTGGTTAAACTATACCATCAACTCTTCCTCATTCCTTACATCTCTCTTTTCTCATGTCTCTTTCACTGTTTGTTATCCTACCACAGCTAGGCCCCAAGGACACTGCTATCTGTGCAGGTGCAGGACTTGGAATTAGCCGCAGTTTTGTACTTTTCCATTTTCTAGCAGCTAAATTCCCAACACCTCTGGACGTTCTCTTAGCAGTTCAAGACATTTGCAAAGAATTTTCCCTTGGGTCATTGCAGATCCAGAAGACAATAAAGAAGACGGCTCGCAGGGAGCAGCTGATGCGCGAGGAGGCCGAGCAGAAGCGTTTGAAGACGGTGCTGGAGCTGCAGTTCATCCTGGAGAAGCTGGGGGATGATGAAGTGCGCAGTGACCTCAAACAGGGATCCAACGGGGTGCCAGTGCTGACAGAGGAGGAGCTGACCATGCTGGATGAGTTCTATAAGCTGGTTTACCCTGAGCGAGACATGAACATGAGGTAGGGTTACAGCAAAGTGCTCCTCTTCCTAATTGCCAGTCACTTAACAATGTATTTGCTATGGTAATTTAAAGACTCAGTAAGAAATTAACTCTTATTAATTAATTTTTAAGGTTGAATGAGCAGTATGAGCAAGCATCTGTTCACCTGTGGGACTTACTGGAAGGGAAGGAAAAACCAGTTTGTGGAACAACCTGTAAGTACAGTCTCTGCATGAAGAGACAGCGTGCAGAATTTGTGTCTGAACTAAAACACACATCTGATGTAAGAGAACTTGGGCAGTTAATTGTCTGTGAGGTCTTAAAAGAACTATTTTTTCTCAGCTCTTAGCTGGACTGTAACAGTGACTTGTGAAGTTTGTGCTCAGTCTGTGGTGAATTTTTTATACCGGCTCAGCATTACTCAGTATTGAAGCTCAGTCTGTTCCTGCTGTTTCAGCAGTACTCTGCTGCTGCTGGTGCTCAGTAACAGTTCTTTGTTTTCTGCAAACCTGGCTGTGAACAAGGTGACAGTGTAATACATACACTGACATGACATTCCTTATTGGGATGTTCTCTCCCCCTTAGCTCCTGCAAAAAGTGTTGCAGTTTTGCTCTGTCTTCATTGATGAACTGCAGATCAGGGTGTGACCATGGCAGCCAGACTGCTTTTTATGGCAATCATTCCCAAATACCTGGCCTAGGCAGCCAGGAATACTGCTTTGCCAATGGGGCTGATGCCTTTTGGGTTAAGGTGCCCCAGCATTCATCTGAAGCACTGAGGTCAATTGTTCTTTGCTTACAAAGGCTCCTTTGAGCCACTTCACCTCAGGAGAAGAACCCTCATGAATCAGATGGTACCTGTGTAGATTTATTTTTATTGACAGTTAGTTGTTTTGGAAGAAAGTGTCTTACAGTAATGCTTGTAAGCAAGAGGAATAAATGTCTAGTAAATAAATTCATAAACTAGACCTCACTGTGAAGTGCTTCACAAAGCTTCTGAAGAGTTCTGTACTCTTCAGATCTTTCTTGCCCTTCAGATTTTTCTGAATGACAGTGGGTTATTTATGGATTTATTGAATGTGACCCAGTAAGAGAAGAAATCCTGGTGCTGCTGGCTTGGGGCAGCAACGTCTTCCCAGCTAAAGGGTCATAAAATGTACATGCAATCTTTGGGAAGGAGGGATGGAAGGAGAGAGAGGATGATGAGGTGCTGATGTCTCCCTGTTGCATTTCCCCAGATAAAGCACTGAAGGAGGTTGTTGAACGCATTCTTCAGACCAGTTACTTTGACAGCACCCACAACCACCAGAATGGGCTGTGTGAGGAAGAGGAGGCAGCACCTGCACCTGCAGTAGAAGACACTGCAGCAGAGGCTGGTGAGGAGGGGAACATGTCCTGTGACTGACACGTTTGTGTTGTTCTGCCATGTCTCTGCACTCCTCAGAGTGATTAAATTGCAAATGCAGTGTTCATCCCTAGCACTGAAACCATCCAAGATGAAAGTTCTGGCTGCCTGAGGCTTTTCCCGTTTTTCAGTGGTTCCCACCAGTTTAAGCTGAGCTGGAAGGGGAGCAGTTGCTGAAGCAGACAGTGTAATTACATACTTAAGAAACTTAGGGTGTTGTATCCAATTTTAAGACAACTCAAAAAGGGACAAACAACAGACAACTCAAAAGGGACATTTTTCCCTTTTGTGGAGAAGGCATAGCTGAACATAATTCTCTCTAGTGAGAATTTATTGGGTTTTTTCCTTTTCAATGCAAAGCTCTCAGAACATTTGTTATTACTAATTCTCTGTTAACACCCATGACATTTCTTTATTCTGAGGCATGAGATTTTCTCATCTAACTTTGTAACTTCTAGGTCTATAACATGAGGTTATAGGTCTTTATTATTGTTCTTTTGGGGTTTTTTATTTGTTTTTTTCCCACATAAATGGTTTATTTCTTTTTCTTCCAGAACCTGATCCAGCAGAAGAATTTACTGAACCAACTGAAGTTGAATCAACTGAGGTATTATTCACTGAAACACTGTCATTTTGTATACCTTCAATGCCGCTTACTTTTACTTTCATACCCTTTCTTATTTTTATTTTAGTATGTAAACAGACAATTCATGGCAGAGACTCAGTTCAGCAGTAGTGAGAAGGAACAGGTAGATGAGTGGACAGTTGAAACGGTTGAGGTAAGATCTTGTGTACTGCAGGTAAAATTGCAATCCCTGTTTCTGCTGGCTCACAATTCATGATAGGTTTTAGTATTGCATCCCTTCTCCCCCAATATATAAAAGAATACATTTATTTAAGTAGGCTTGGACTTGCTACTTGATTCTTTATTATATCTTAGCTCAGGAGTACCTAAAATAAAAAGAAATAAAACCTATTGAGTCTGGCTAAGTTTGCAGAGAACTTGCTTTTCTTCATTAGTGGCTTGCTTGGGAAAACAGGGCTTAAAAGTCTTATGCTTAAAAAGACTTTAAGGACTTCTTTTGAAGTCTTTTTTCTTTTTTGAGAACTTAGCTGCAAATGTAGAACTTGAAAGTTGATCTACCCAGCTGCTGACAGTGTGGTGTAGTTGTGCTTTCATGAAGCACAGGTGCCTGGAGAGGGAGCTGAAAATGAGTAACTCAACTAATTCCTACTCCAGATTGCTTGTGTGCATCATTTGGTGTTAAAATGTGCTTGTATGTGTGTACATCTCTGCTTCCCAGAGCTGCAGCTCTTCAGGTATCTCACTTGTTACTGCTCTGCACTTGGGTGGTGTTCACTTGTGGTGTTTGTGGTGTTGGGATCCGTTCCCAGTTCAGTGATTTGCACTCAGACTTTGCTGCCTGTGCAAATCCATGATTTTATTGCACTGGCATTTGTGGTCCTCGTGTACAGGAAAAGACAAAGCCCCCTGTTTGGTACTCACTGTTGGAGTTGTGTCTGTCTGGGAAAAACAAGTCTGAGCAGCTTCTTTCAGGTGCTGGAGAGTTAATTTTTGATTGATTTTAGCCTTCTGCAGCACCAAATTGCAGATGGTCAGTTGTTTAGACTTTCTTGGTGCCTTTGGCTGTTTTTAAGTGTAGTAGTGAAATAAGTGTTCATCATCTTGTGTGAAAAAAATAGAGCAGCTGAAATTTTGATCTGATAAACTAATCTGGCTGATTTTTACATTGAGTCTGGCTGAAATTCCTATTTAACAGTGTTGAAGGTCACTTAGAGATTTAATAATACTGAGGAGGAGTGTGAGACTTCTAAAGCCAAGTAGACAGCGTTGCCATGTCAGTGAAGGAGTTTGGTAGTTCCTTGTCACAGTATTTCATTTACTTACTTTAAAAACTCTGAAATTGTCACTGCTACTCACTGCCTACTGAATGTGTTTTAAGAATTATCTTAAAAAACTGAAGAAACCCTCCAAACCCATACATTAAAGTCATGATTGGTTGGAGTGTTCTTAGAAGGCACAGTATTTGAAAATTATTGATTAATTGGCTTCAATTATACCCATTTATATCGAGTCCAGAGTGGTTCAGTTCTCTGTTGTTCTTAATATAAGGAGTATGGATGAAGGCATAATTCAGGTTGGTGATTTCAGAAACTCATAATTTCCTGGTCAGCTGAATCTGGAATTGGCTCAGCTTTGTTTTCATAGGACAATTCTGTCCACATATCTTGGACATGGTAGAAAGAAATGATTTCGAAAAAACTGAAGTTAAAGCCTGTTTCTTCATAATAAAGAACTTTATTTTCTCAGCTAGAAAAGGGAAATTGAGAATATCTGCCAGTAAAATTATTCTTGCTGGCACTACAGTCTCCTTACTCAGGAGAATGCAGCTCAATTGTGCTTTGGTAAAATGGTGACACAGGATGTACACTGGTAGCTGTGAATTTTGAAATCTGAAAGAGATCATTAGCTCAGAAGATCTCTATAATTGTTCCCTAAGGGGAAGGATATCATAAACTCCTCTCTTTTTCTTTCAGTAACCCTCAAGTAGATGTGATACAGTCAGGATTGCTGTGGGGTGTTTCTGGTTTGGGAGGTGATGTCTTCACAAGGATGTTTTTTGCATGGTCCTTCCATAACTTTTAAACTAAATCATTTCCTTGTGAATTTTCCAAGTGTATTTGGATTATATGATGTTCTAATTTTGGTGAAGATCTCCTTTATTGATAATAGCATTTATGGAGATTTTTTGTTGCTGTTTTGTAGGGTTTAATTTTTTTGAACTGCTTCTTCTGTAATTAGTCCCTGAATCTGGTTGTACACAAAGTTCTGTGTGTCTTAGATTGTGAAACTTTGGTTGGATGGATTTTGTGTAGAACTGAAAACTGTTCTCAGACTAACAAAATACAAGTTCATTCTCTTGGTTTGTGCTGTCATTAAACTTGTGGTTTTACCTTTCTTTCTCTTTTTTCCTGTCCCCTGTCAGTCTCCTTGCCTTGTGTCTGGCAGCTCTGCCTGCTGACAAGATTACTTTACCTCAACACAACTTGAAATTTGCTCAGTTGTTCCATCCTACTTGCTCACTACCCTGGTAGTGCTAATGAGGCTGAAGGAATAGGTCCTAAACTGTTCCATTTGACATCAAAAAAGGAGTATTGGAAAAGATAATGTAAAATATGAAATACCATCTGAAGTTACTGCTGTGCCATTTGTAGAAAAGGAAAACCTTGGTTATTTTTGTCACTGTTGTGTGTTCTTGATTATTCCATTGACTTTTTTTCTCTTGAAGATACTGAATTGTTGTGAATGACTTGGACTCCATAAGTTGAGTGGTAGGGCTCAAATAACTGAGAGTACTTTTGGTAAAAGTTATGCAGGAGATGAGTAGCTGTTGGTTTACCACTCAAGTGCACATTTTCTTCAATTTTTAAACTTTGTTATGTGCAAAAGGTCTCTGTATGTGCTCTAGATAAAGTTTTCCACTCACAGGACTTAATTCTTAATTTGGAAACAGTCCATAGTGTGAAATTCAGGGAGTGTTTGATAGAGCAGAGTTGTGTTTGGTTTCCAGTGTGGACTGCCTCAGGGTGTATTTTTCATGGGAATTGTCAAACTGCTTCTCTGGATTGCTACCAGTGGTGATTTGGGTCTGAAGGGGATCTCAAAGAGGACTGTGGCTGTGGTTAGCTTTTAGTTTTGTTCAGATTCTCTGTTTGGGATTTGCTCAAGGAAGGAGCCGTTGGAGTTGGTGAGGCAGCTGCATGTGCAGAATGCCATGGACATACAAGATTTGGAAATGTGGGCAGGCAGCAGGAATGCTGGAATGTGCTGTAGGTTTCTTGGAGAAATTAACAAGAAATGTGCAGGCTTTGAGGGTGGGTAGTGACAGTGTGGGGCATAAAGTTCAGACCTTTGTTACAGGATGGTTTGTAATTGTCATGGCTGGGTATAGAAATCTGTCTTCTGCAGCTCTAATAAGAAATCAGGTATTTTACATCAGTATTTTGAGTTTTCAGGTGCCTGTATGCTAATTTATATCCTGTGTAAGTAAGTTTTAAGGCTTAGCTGTATATCTGGAATGTTAGCAATGTTACAATCTGATTGAAATAAAGAAGTAATGACAAGAGACAATGGTATTTTTAAAGGGCATTTGTTGACATTGGAAATGGCACTTCTAGATTACAGGAGCTGCCTAAAGAGCAGGTGAGGGACTGGTTAGGGCCATCAGAGTGCATCTCAACCATCTTTGTCACTGTCTGTTTTCAAACTCTTTGCTGAGGGATGTTTGAGGTGCCCATGTCCAGCTTGGCTGGTTGCTCTGCTGTCTAATCAGGTGCTCTCTGAGAGCCCATTGCAGTTTGTTCCTTGTTGATGTTTGCCACTTTGGGATATGTCTGGTGAATCTGAGCTTTCTGGCCCTCCCTGATCTGTGCTTCTGCTTCTGGGCTTCTGGTGTCCCCTCACAGTGCTGTCTGGCAATCCTTGTCATGCAATGCTGCCTGCTGTTCCTGAGACAGTAAATCAGGGAGCTAGGGTAACAGTGGCTGTGAAAATTGAGCATTATGAAGTCTTAAAAAAGACCAAAAAATTCTTACTCCACTTATATTTACCAAAAAGCTATGAGAAAATAATTGTACTCCATTTGTGCCTATTTCTGAAGCTTAGTCTTCCCCCACTTCCTTTAAATTTCTAAATGGTGATAAATTGCTGTCTCAAATCCTGGTCTACAAGACTCCATGTGATATTGAACAAATACCTTTTTCATGGAGAAAAGAGTAGATGGAGAGAAAAAAGAGCAGAGTGTGAGCTCTGTAATCCTGTGAGTGCTCAGATGAGTAGCTGGCCACAGTACTGACCTGTCTAGGATGTAAAGCTGTCCTTCAACACCCCTGCAGCAATTCCATCATCCATAGCCAGTCAGGCAATAGGCAGAAATGCAAGAACTCCTGAGTCACTTGAGTGCAGCACTGCCTGGAGCTGAAATTGCAGTTGCTGTTGTCTCTTGCTAGGTTGTAAATTCCCTGCAGCAACAGACGCAGGCGACATCTCCTCCCGTCCCGGAACCTCACGCACTCACTGCTGTGGCTCAGGCAGACCCCCTGGTCAGGAGACAGCGAGTACAGGACCTCATGGCACAGATGCAGGGCCCCTACAACTTCATGCAGGTATTTCTGTACTCTAAACATTCATCTGTTGAACCCACAGCAGTGTGGATTTGAGATTTGATTTTTATTTTTTTTTTTTAATTATTTTTCTTCCCAGGACTCGATGCTGGAATTTGAGAACCAAACGCTTGATCCTGCCATTGTATCTGCACAGCCCATGAACCCAGCCCAGAGTTTGGACATGCCCCAAATGGTTTGCCCTCCAGGTTTGTAATGGTAAATCCTAAAGAGGAATACTGGGGAAGCCTGCAAGTCATCTCTTAGAAATGCTTCAGTTGCTGCTGCATAATAAAAAGGTCTCCACAAGTATAGTACAGTCCTGTTATAGTGTTTTTTCTCAGAAATGTGATTGTACTGTTTTTTAGGCTTCCAGTTCTCACTTGCTTATGGGTTTTTCTTGGAGATATGGAGCAACTAAAGCTTCTTTGGTTTTGCTTTGGATTATTTTGGTCAACTAGAAAAAATGTTCTTTGCATGGAAACAGGAGTTGGTAATTTGAATATAGTTTGCCATGCTTAAGGCTTCATCATCTTCATGATGATCAGCTTTCACATAAGTGCTCAGAGCAGATAATAATGCTATTCTGTGAAAGATTTGATTTTACTGGGTAATAACTGAAATTATTTTCCTCCAGTTCATGCTGAGTCAAGACTTGCCCAGCCTACCCAAGTTCCTGTGCAACCAGAAGCTACACAGGTAAAATGTTTAGTAAATTCTGGCTTGGATTTGAGTTTGGTATTAGGCCTGATTTGAGTTAAAAAAGGATTTATTTCCTAACTACATGAGAGACTCTTATGAAAAAACTGAAGGTCTAGTTTTGGGAAATTGGTGATCTCCATTGTTGCTTACAAGCATTACTAGCTCCTAGTTTCATTCTCTACTGACAATGCAAATTTCCAGTAACGGGAAGCAGATAGTTTATTTATTTGCAACAGAAATGCCAAAAAAACCACTTGGTTACAGGGCAGCCTGTGTCTGTCCAAGTGAGTGTCAGGGCACAAGTAGATCTCATGCATTAACAATATGGAGTTTGTGTTCTGTTTGATTATTCCCACTTGCTTGGATTGGGATTTTACCCTGGAGTTGTAGAGCAGTCAGTGTGAGTTGAATGCTGTTTCTAGTTGAGTGTCAAGTGGGATCTCCTAAACTTGCTTCTGCACTGTATAAATGAAGTGGTCACTTTGTTGTTGGGATGTTTCAGTTCAGTCTGGCGATTAAAGATTTTTTTATTAAGCATATGTGACATCTCTGAGGACTCTGCTGGTCTCAATAATGGGTCTGATCCATGTAGGTGTTTGCAAACCAGAAAAAAATCTGGATAGGTGACGGCTCTCACAGTACAGGCAGTGTGAATTTTTCCTTTGGCTTGTCCAGATGAGGTCTGCAGGTTTAAGTCACTCATTTCTATAGAAACAGGAGCGAGGGAATTGTTTCTTGAGTTTCCTCTGTATGTACCTCCTGAAGTGCTGGTGCTCTCCACAGTTTTGTTGTCTCATAGGAGTAGAATAATTTGTTTGGGCAGAGGGTTTTTTTTTCTCTGCACTAGTTTTTATTTTGCTGTTAGGTGATGTCTGACTTAATCCAATGGATTTTTTTTCTTACTTCCCTTATCTCAACCAGTGCTGCCAGTTAATTCTCTCAAGGATATTGCAAGCAGTAGCTAAACTTACTCTTGGCTCTGGAACATTCCAGTGTGATGTGAACACTCCCATTTAAACTCTAATCAGTTATTATCCATTGCTTCTTTAACTCCCCAGTACAGCCTTTAATGCAAAATGCTCTGCTTTCCTGGCTGGACTTTTCCCTGGGCTCTCTGTGTGGGAGCAGAGCTTGTAAAATGTAGAATTCAGGCCATTGAAAGCCAGCCCTTGTCCACTTGTGTTTGAGCTTGGAGCTGTGTGGTGTTAGAATGTTGGTGGTTAAAAAGGAATTACTTTGTACTGGTTTGAAGATGTGCTGGCTCACAGACTAGAGAGTACCATCCACTCCAGAATTCTCTGATACTTTTTTCAAAACTGTGTGTGAGCATCAGCTGACTTCTGGGGGCTTTGGGGTTTATTTTGTCAGGTTCCCTTGGTTTCTTCTACAAGTGAGGGATATACAGCTTCCCAACCCATGTATCAGCCTTCTCACACAGCAGAGCAACGGCCACAGAAAGAATCAATTGACCAGATTCAGGCAAGTCAGGTTTCACAGGGGTGGGAAGAACTCTTGATTGCAGGTGGCATCAAATGTTAGACTATGTTTCTTAGTAAATAACATTATTTTTAGTTGATAGGGGTGCTTCAGTTCCCTTTAATTTCAAAATTCTCAGCCTGTCTGTGACCAGTGAGTCCTCCGTAGCAAGACTTTTCATTTGGAAGCTTGTTTGTTTAGTTGGATGCAGCATGCCAACATCAGCATGAGAGCATCAGTGTTGTTGGCTTAGGAAGTGGGATTTATTTTTTCACAGCAGTTAGCCTGGAAACTTCTTCATTTCCCCCCTCTGGATTTTTCTAGTTGTGTTTCAAGTTAATGAGGGAGAAGATGGTTAGGTTTTTCCTCTCATTATGCTGTTGTGAATTAGGCTGTTGAGCTGAAGTACAGAAGAGTCATTAGTAGAGGTGAAGCTGAGGCATTGCCATTCTTTTTTAAGCAAAGTTTTTGAAGTTAAATTTTTGGTACCTCTAGAGCTAAAATATCATGTGTTTTAATTCTTAGGCTTCCATGTCCCTGAATGCAGACCAGACCCCATCCTCATCATCACTTCCCACTGCATCCCAGCCACAGGTGTTCCAGGCTGGATCCAGCAAGCCTTTGCATAGCAGCGGAATCAACGTCAATGCAGCTCCATTCCAATCCATGCAAACAGTGAGTAGGAAATCAGGCCTGGATCCCTTTGGCTTGGTGCTCATCCCTTGTGGTGGGATCAGTCATGCAGCTACATATGATGGTCCTTGGTTATTCACATTTCTAAGACTCTGATGCTTCTTTACAGAGCTGTAAAACTGAATTTCTGCTCTTACAGGTATTCAACATGAATGCACCTGTTCCTCCTGTGAATGAGCCAGAAACCCTTAAGCAGCAAAACCAGTACCAGGCCAGTTACAACCAGAGTTTCTCCAATCAACCTCACCAAGTAGAACAATCAGATCTCCAGCAAGAACAACTCCAGACAGGTAAAATTCTTGTGGCCTTGGTAGAGCAGGTGATAAGTCTGTGACATCCTAGATGATGGAGCACAGTGTGTCATAGGTTCCCTTGCAGGCCTTTCCCCTGAGCAGTACCAGGTTTTGTTACTCTGTCTGGGTTGGAATATGCAGCAGGGAGTGAAATTAATTATATCTATCTCCAGTTGTTAAGCCACTGACTGAGGTTTATATGGGTTTAAAAAAACCCATGAACAGAATTATTCTGAAGATGCAGGTACTGGAGTGAAGTACTGGCCCTGCTGATGTGAAGGTTGCTTTAAAGAAAAACAGTGCAATTTGAGGTGACATTCTGTAAAGGAGATAGTAAGCCAGAAATGAGAGCAAATATGGATTGCTTCTCACAGTTGATGTAAGGTCACCAAGGCCTGGAATCTTGTGCTGAAATCAGTGAGAAATTACTTGAATTCAGCAGGCAAAATGCTTTCCAGGTTAGCAACTTGAAAATAAAAGTTTATATCCAGAGCTGTTTTTCGCTCAGCACTGCCTTCACTTTCCACTGAAGTGCTAACAAGTACTGGATGTGGAACAAGGACAGAGAGCCTCATCCTTTTCCTCTGTAACAGAATGTTGGATTTCAAGAGAGATACGTGGGAACATAAAGAAATTCAGACTTTTCTCCTTCTTTTTCCCCCGATTCCCTTGCAGTGGTTGGTACCTACCACGGTTCCCCAGACCAGAGTCACCAAGTGGCAGGAAACCACCAGCAGCCTCCCCAGCAGAGCTCTGGATTTCCCAGGAACAGCCAGCCTTACTACAACAGCCGGGGCGTGTCCCGGGGGGGATCCCGCGGGGCCCGGGGCCTCATGAACGGCTACAGGGGCCCAGCAAATGGATTCAGAGGTGAGAGCTCTGCAAATCCCTCCCTGGGCTCTGCTCCACCCTGGGGTACCTGACCTGCTGCTGGGAGACTGGGGTAGCAACCCTGTGAGACAGCAAAACTTGCAGTAAAAATCTTACTGGTTGTAGATAAGCAACGTAAAATTTAAGTGTGTGTTTGGACTCTTGTTACAATAGTAAACATCTACTGCAAGTATAAGCAAATATAGAAATATCCACTTGTCAAGCAAGGAATTCAGATGCAAGTTGGTGTTTCAAAAATGCTTGGTGTTTCCACAGTGTATTTTGTAGTTCTGTGTTGCATCACAATGAGAATAGGGTGGCTTAAATAGAAGTACAGGAACACAAGAGTCCAAAAGTCACTAGGCCAAGGTAATTAACAGGAGTGGAGGAATGATAATGTAGTTCTGGATAGATAAGAGAATGTTCATGATTCCTGGACCTTACATGTGTGGCTGTCAGTGTAACAAAGGTTTATGTTAGAATATAACAGATTTCCTTATCAGGTGTTCTGGGATTGCTTATGGACTCAGGTACTGCCTTCCAAGTTCTCTTCCCCTCCTGTGGCTGGGGAGTAGAGAAGAAATGTGTGTAATAAAAATACAGCTGATTGGAGTGTGAATGCAGTAATCACAGCTGGGACATTTAGATCCTGTCTAGGATTGTGTTTAGCTCTGATCTGAATGTTCTGTAAATCAAACCTCGGGTTACTCTGAGAAATGCACTGAACTCTGCCTCCTCCCAGGCCTTAGGAGGTGTTCATTCTCATTTCTTTGGTATAGTAGCTCTGATGTTGGAGACATTTGCTTGTAAACAGCCCTTGCTAAAGGGATAGGATTTTTTTAAGGTTTAGGTAAAATGCTGTTGCTGCTTTTCTTTCTATAGTAGCAGAAGGTCAAGTATTAAGTGCAGCTTTGATTTCCAAGTGAAAGATTTGTGCCCTGTTCCTTAGGGGGATACGATGGCTACCGTCCTTCCTTTTCCAACACTCCAAACAGTGGCTACACACAGCCCCAGTTCAATGCTCCTCGGGATTACTCAAACTACCAGAGGGTAAGTTACCTGTGGGGAGGGAAATAACCTGCCAAAAGCACTCAGAGCTGTTAGTGACATCTTCCTCTGGGATTTTATTGCTCAGGAAAACAAACTGCCCCTGTGTAGTTTGGAAAAGTTGAACACTAAATGCATCTATTTATATTTCTTAGTTATATTGAGCAACACATCCTGTAACTGGAGAGAGCATTTATCACTGCACATTTTATTACAGCTGCTAGGCACTAGTGGAAGTAAGAATTTATTTTTTAAAGATTATTTTTTACTAATAAAATGTTGCATGTTGAAGTTACAGGTGTTTTGTCAGTGCATATTGTTCTAAAAGGTCCTTATTTTGCTGGCAATTAATAACAGAATGCCCAGGTTTTATGTTGTAACTTTTTAAATTTCTTTGCTTCAGGATGGATATCAACAAAATTTCAAACGTGGCTCTGGACAAAGTGGACCTCGGGGAGCTCCTAGAGGTAATTTCCTGAGTAGGGAATAATTGATTTGGGTTGAGTGGAAGTTTCTGAGCCAACTTTTAAAGTTCTGCACTTAAAAAGCAACCTCACTCCTTAGTCAGCAGCTCACAATTAAGAATAAGCTGACTTGAATTATTGGGATCCTGTGAACTGATGGTGGAAGTCAAGCTGGCTGTTAAATGAGGAATTCTTGGAAAAGAAACTAAAGCAGCAATTGCTGTTCACATTCAGTTATAGTAGAACTATTTAACTGTCTTTTATTGATGAAAGCCTTGGGAAACAAACCCAACAGACATAATGAGGCTGTAGTTAAGCTTCTGAATTCTATTCTCATCACATTTCCTCAGGTCTTTTTCTTAGTACATTTTTGATGATGACACTGTTCTGTCTCCATATGGACAGTGAGGGCAGCTCCAGGCTGTGCCCTGCATCTGTGAAACCCCACTTGGTAGTTCAGTTTTGGGGGGACTCAGTTTCTGTCCCTGCCTTGGTCCTGAAAGCCCTGAGGTGTGGAGCTGAGGCCTCTGGAGTTGAGTGCAACATTGGGCTGTGCTGAAGCTGAGAGTGTGTTTTAGGAAGCACAACAAAGTCTGACTGAGTTCAGAGCAGAAGATTTAGGGCAGTTTTTAAACTAACCAGATTTCCTGCAGAATTCAACCCCCTATTTGTGTTTTCCAGGTCGTGGAGGGCCCCCCAGACCAAACAGAGGGATGCCTCAGATGAATGCTCAGCAAGTGAATTAAACACGTTCACAGGATTCCATTCAACGCCAAAAACACGCTGGCCAGTGTACAATACATGTTACCAGAAGAGTTATTATCTATTTGTTCTCCTTTACAGGAAGTTTGTTGTAAAGGGACTATTTTCATTACCCATAATGACAGGACTACAGTTGCCAGCTTTATATTCCCTGGATATTGAAAGGAACAAAACAACGTTTACTCTGCATGTTCTGTCCTAAGCATCATCTTGAGCCTTGCACATGAGATTCAGATTCCTCACCCTTGCTAAGAATAAAGCAAAAAAGGCAATTTTCAGGGTGATCCAATCTCCATGGTTAACTGAAGTGGCAGGAAAAAGCAAAGACTCAATTCTGTCATTTAAAAGTAATTTAACAAAATTCAGATAAAATCTGCAAATTCATAAAAATTTTCTGTGGTGGCAGTTAAAAAAACTTAAATGTTCCCATGAAAAGATGGAAAAGGTGAAGTGTGGCTTGGTAGAGCAACTACATTTCATCTTTTTCTTACTAAATCGAAGCACTGAACAGTTCAAGATGTGTAGTGATGCAATTGCCCTGAGTAGACAGGTGGGCTTAGAGGCAGTTTGTGACAAAGAAGAGACACCCTTAGCTGCAGCACTCCTCATCACCAGGGCCCTGATTCCTGTGGCTGTGGAGTTAAGAGCGCTTGCATAACTGCTAATGTAACTGTGTAATTAATTTTTTTTAGGAGACAAGGTGAAAAACTGAAAAAAAGAAAAAAAAAAGCTTTGATTTGGCACTTGGACAAAATTTTGCAACAAATCCTGAGCTATAATCTGGATGGCCACTGTATATTTGATGTGAAGTATTTAGATATCTCTTTGAAACACTTTTAAGTTTCTTTGATAGCAATGACTTTTGTAAGGATTGGTATTCTCTATCATTCCTTATGACTTGCACATTGTCTGTCACTAATACTTGACCTTGCTGTATTATCACCTAAATAACTGATGCCGGTACTGATGGAAATCCCTAATGGATAATCATAACACTTTTGGTCACATGTCCTTTTGTCTTTCCTGCAGCCTTGAAGGTTTTAAGAAATCTCAAATGCCCGCTGCTGCTGCCCTTCCAATTGCTGTCTTTTGAAAAGCACCAGTCTGTGTTTGAGTTGATTTCCCCTTTTCAGGGAAATGACAGCCAGCAGTTACAGTTCTAATGGTATAAGCAAGATAAATAAAACATGTTTATAAAAATTGTATCCTGGAACACTGGTTTTCAACGGCTGAAACAGATTCAATGTGATGGGGTGACATTTCATAAGGGTTTTTTTTCTTTCTTTCTTTGGTTGTTTTCCCCTGATAGTCTCTTTTTCCTGACTAGATGTAAACCCTCCTGCTGTTTTTCTGATTTTATTCTACTAGCTGTGACTTCTGGGAAACTTTTCTTTTTTATGGACTTTTCCTTTTTTTTTTTTTTTCTTCATCAAGGCAGCAATGTATAAAAGAAATGGCATAAGCCTAGGAGCTGGAAAATACCAAGTCTTATTCAAGTTTTACTGCATCCTTGTGGTATAATCTTTGGAAAAATCACTTGTGCCTGCCTTTTGCGCACATGCACTCTCTCTGCAGTGGGGAGAATATTTTGATAGCTGCCTCCATAGAGGTGTTGGTAGTTCTGTTGCATTCTATAGCACGTGTGAGAAGAAAAGTGCTATATTCTCTGTTAAGTATTGCTCATCAAATAATTCCTACCTGTGGAAAGGTGAAATTGAGGAACAGCTGCGTGGTGTTTAACTGTTCTGTACAAAACTGAAGGTTGTTTTCACTCAGAGGGTCATTTCTACTTTGTATCACAACTGAACTTTCAGAACTTGCAGTCAGATACTTTTGACTTCGTTGTGAAGCAGTCTGGAACTCCATCCAAATAGGTGGGATATCACTTTTCCATGTCCTGTGTGAAGAGCACAAATGAAAAATGTTTTCACTGCGAGAAGTGATAAGCTTGTGAAGACCATATTCCACACCAGGCATCCTGAAACGGGGCTGATGTCTGGAAGCAGCAGTTTGAGTCAAGGCCTAGAACATTCCTAAACTGCAGTCCGGTGAGAAGTTGCTGTTCTGTGTCTTTTTTAGGAAGCTATTACTGAGATAATAGTCCCAACTGTTTTTTAACTGGAAAAAAAAAATAAAAAGACAAACCTTTTAATGTTGAACTGATGTAGGAAAACAGTGAATTATTTTAATTATTTTATTTTTCTTTATGCATCAGCTTTTAAATGGTTGGTGGAACACAAGCTGCTCAGCTTTTTCCATTGCACACCAGATGCTCCTTAAGGAACTAATTGTAGTTTGTCAGTAAATGTGCACCATACTCAATCAGAGACCTCTGAATGGATCAAAACATTCCACCTTGAGTTTGGGGGGTTGGTTTGGGGTTTTTTCCAACTTGAATTTATTAATAAAACACCAGGCCTCTTCATAGAGAGACAAATTTGTAAACCTGTATGCCAGTAGCCTTTAGAGGAGAGGGAGCCCTTTGATCTCCACCGTGGTGTAACAAAGTCCTGAGACATCAGCTGGAGTCACCCTGTGCTCCCAGAGCCCTCGCTGGTCCTCTGGCCTGCTCAGGGCACCTCTCAGCTTTTACTGCATGGCTTGGCTGTAGTGTGAGCTCCCTCCAGATCCCAAGCACTCCTAGGTAGGTGTCTTTTGGAAAGGGTCCTGTTTAGAGCAAAGACTATTGCCTGAAGTTTATGTTGAAGCAAAGCTGTGGCAGTTTGGGGCTGAGCCCCTTGTGGATGCGGGGATGAGCTGTTTGTTCATGGGCAGCTGGGGTGTGATCGTGGGGCTGGGACAGGGCTGGGGCTGAGCCTGTTCCAAACCAAACTTCTGCCTTCAGCTTCATGCTTCCTCTTGGCTGCAATTCAAGGGATTCTGAGCAAGTGATTTTTAAAGCTGAAGTATTTCAGGTCTTTGTATGTATTGTTATTGTGTCTGAGAAACTTGGATCCTTCCTAGACATCCTCCTCATTGAAAGCTGACCCAGAAATCATGAGCTGTTGTGTACCTGAGGCCAGCCTGCTCATGAATTTTACTCCTGTGTTTCTGCTGTGCACAGGCTGTTTTCTAAGAACAGTTCACCAGTGCAGCTTAGGGATTTTGCTGTGGAGAGAGTTCTAAACTTCACTTAACCCCTGTTTTCTTCCCCAGATCCTGTCTTTTGTATGCAGCAATCTCTGAATCATCAGGCAGAGTAGTTGGAAGAGGCTTTTGTTACTTAACCAGGCAATGTATCCAGCTGGGACTTAACTCTCAGAGAACCTCGTGTCCTAAAAAATGTGTCTTCTCAAAATGTCCCACCAACCTTAAGTTTTTAGGAAGATTAGTTGTGTTCCAGGTCTTTGGAGAAAGGATTGAGCTTCCCTTTCTCCCAAATGACATTTGAGTAGAGAGAAGTTACTGAAGAGACTCTAACTGCAGATAAATCCTGCAAAGATGATAAATTATACTGAAAAAGTTCTTAAAATTTATATGATTAAGAACAATTAGGGCAAAATCTTTGTGGTTCTGCAGAGCAAGATACAGAACCAGTTGGTTGGAAGAATCTTGATGTTCCCCTCACCCTGTTCATGAGGCTGCAGTCACATCCTGGGAAATCCAGACCATCCCTCTTGCTGATGTGAAACTGTTCTTGGGTGAAGTTTATTGTGAAGTATTGACAGGATGCTTGAGCTGCAGCTGAGGTTTGTCAGTGTGTAAAGGAGGCTGGTTTAGTTCCTAAAACCTGAGCACCTGTTTCTCCAATTTTCCATCTGCACTGAGCATGGATGGGACTAAAAGGTTTCCCTTCACTTGAGCTGGCAGCAGGGAATTGCAGGGATGTGCTGGGAAGGTGCAGTGCCCCTCACTGATGGACCAGAACATCTGGAGAGCAAGGAGGAAATGAGCCCAGACAACAAAACTCTCCTGTTGAACTCAGAGGACAATTTCCTTATTTAAATCTGGCCTTAAATATATTTGTGATTATTGTCTGGAGTTTGCTGGAAGCTCCCTTCTGATGGTGTTTCTCCTGAAATGAGAGAATTTGTTAAAGTGCATCTGAGCCCTCCATTGGTCTGGACTGATCTTGGCCGTTGTGGAGGCAGTGGCACAATTCAGGGAAGGAGCTTTGGGAACATTCCCTTCTTTTTGCCAGCACACTCTCAGTCCTGGAGAGGGCTAATTGCTTAAACTGCAACATTTTCCTGTTGCCCAATAGTTTTTGCAGAGGGAGGGAGGTGGGGAAGTCCTTCAGATGTGTATTTTTGGTGTGATGTGGAGAGTGTGATGAGAAACTTCCTTTTCTAGACTGTTGATCTAAGGGCAGAGGTGCTATTCTATGAACCACTTTCAGAGGCTTTTTGCATAGAATGATATTAAAATTTGTGGCTCTCTCGTTCCAGCCTTAATGGAGGGAAAGAAATCTATTTTCCACAATCCACTTCCTAAAAGCCACTTAGACTAGCATATAGGATATCTGCATTAGGAAAACTAGAGGCTAACTTGGCATTTGGTTCTGAATTTAACTTTTTTTGTTCTTGCTGCAGTTTTATTAAAAGCAAGATTCTTTTCCCCTCTCTTTTTAATACTCCTAGAAGAGTCAGAAGGGTGTCACTGGCTCAGTTCCAACCCTGCTGGCCCATTTCTACCCAAGGAAGGATCAAGAGGACACCTGGAATTTTGGTCTCAAGCTAAATCTTAGGAAATATCTGTTAGACTTTTGAGAAATGAAAATGTACTTCCTCTTTTGAAGCTCTTGGATTTTAGAATGAATTTTAGTAATGCTTCTAGCACATAAAATAAGCGTTGAGAATTTTTAGTTTGTTGTCAGGTTTAAATTTTCTGATGGCCTTAAACATACCTGTATATATGTCTTTGCAGTTCTTAAACTCAGCGTTGGGAACAAATTGGTCCATGGCTTATGTAAACACTTGACAAATAAATCTATTTAAATGTTTTATGTCCTTCCCTTTTAACAAATATTTCATACCTAAAGGGATTGTCTTGCTACACTTCTGTTGCATTGGTGGTTTTGTCTCAGTGACTGGATTTAACTGGGTTCGCCTAAAAGAAAATTGTTTTACTGCCTTTATGATTATTAATTCAGTATTTTTATCATATTTTTGTTATATTTGGAAACCACCCCAAATACATCCAGTGGTATTAAACACATTTTTCCTACACTGTCACCTGGTTTTAAATACTTCATTGTTTGTGTTCAAGTTAAAAAAAGGCAGTATTAAAAGCTAAGAATAAATCTATCTATGCAAATAGCTGGGCTCAACTTTGGTATTGAAAGGTTAGAACAGCTTGAGAATAAAATTCCATGTTTCTGAAACCTCACTGGAATTTCAGCTCAGGTTGATAGATAAGTCATTTTCTTGTTGCTGCTCCATGGCTGTGCAGCTTGGGATTTTGTAGGGAAAACTTTCCAACAGCTCTGGTGGATTTATTAAGAAGCAGAAATAAATGTCAGCAGCTCCCTCCTCTTCCTGAGGAGCAGGATTCCTGATATTGATATTCCCTGGGGGTGGCTGAGTGTCCTCAATGAATCCTAAAGATCTGTTCTTTACTGGATGTGTTCTGTTTGCTCTCTGCACTCTTGTTTCCTTAGGAAACTGCCTCCAAATGCCCTTTAATATATATATAAAAATATATATAACATATATTTCTAAATATTAGAAATATAATAGATAAATATAAATATTATAAGTTTTATATTATATCTTATATATCTAGATATTATATATATATAGATATCATCTATTTTTTATTTATTTATATTTATATGCATATGCGTGTATATATGTGTATAAATATTTGGTTTTGTCATCTCTCCCCCCGGAGGAAAGGCCACCCAGACTCAGAGTTGGCAGGTGTGGAAATGGAATTATCTTTATAAAATCAAAAATTTAAAATTTATAAAACCTGCTCTTTGTGCCCACACGCCTGGAGGGGTCAGAGGCAGGATTTGTTTAGAATAAATCGTAAAAAAAATTAAAAAGGGAAGGGAAGGGAATTTCAAGGAAAGGAAAAAGGAAAGGAAAAAGGAAGAGGAAAGCTGTGGGCAGTAGGGGCTGCTCTGTGTCTCGCAGGGATTTTGGGAGCCGGCTGGGCACAGAAATCCTTCCCCATGTGGAAAGCTACTTTCAGTTACTCTACTTGAGACCTCGACACACAGAGCAGCGTATATATGTGTGTTTTATGTGCGATTTTACAGAAATGTGTATTTAGAAATACACCTGGGTCGCGCAGGCGGCCTGCGCGGGCAGCCCCGGGGTCCTCCCGCACCGCGCGGCGCTCGCGGCCGGGCCCAGGCGGCTCCCACGTGGTGCGGGGGCAGCGGGAGCGGGGAGGGGCCGCGGGAGAGCGGGGAGAGGGAGCCGGGAGAGCTCCGGGAGCCGCAGCCATGCAGCGCCGCAAGGTGGACAACCGCATCCGCGTCCTCATCGAGAACGGCGTGGCGGAGCGGCAGCGGAGGCTGTTCGTGGTGGTGGGAGACCGCGGCAAGGACCAGGTACGGCCGTACAGGAGCTGCCGCGGCTCCTCGGGCCCTGCTCCGCTCTCTCCAGCGGGAGTGGAATCCTGGCAGCCCCAGGCAGAGCAGCGGGGACTGAGGGGAGGGAACTCACAGGGACGGGGTTGGAAATGGTGTGTGAGACCCCCCCTAGGGCATCTCCCGGCTGGGAAACTCCTGAACGGCAAATGGTGCTCAGGACAGGCTGCGGTGTGTGGGCTTGGTTTGGTTTTTTAACTTGGTTTGTAACTGTTAAACTTTCCGGCTGGCTGTAGGTTTTTCCCCCTCGGTTCTGCCGTGTGGTGGTTTCTCTCTCGGGGTGGGCTTTGAGTTGTCTCGCAGATGAACCTGCTGAAGTTGTGTGAAGGAAATTCAGTGCTAAACTCGTTTTTCTTTGGGGAATCTGGCCTTGTGTTTTTCAAGTGGGGAGGGGAAGAACAGCTCGGCAAACGCGCGGTGGTTTAGGACAAGTCCATTCACTAAATCACAGAGTTGTTGGGGGTGGAAAAGCCCTCCCAGACCGCTGAGTCCAGCAAGGCCAAGGCAGCGCCAACCCAGGTCCCCAAGTGCCACATCTGCGGGGCTTTTTAATCCCTGCAGGGATGGGGACTCAACAGCCCACTCAAGGAAGAAATTTTGCCTTAAAACCAACCTAAACCTCCCCTGGCACAGCCTGAGGCCTTTTCCTCTCCTCTTGTCCCTTGTTCCTGGGAGCCGAGCCCGACCTGGCTGCCCTTTTCCATCAGGATCTGTGCAGAGCACTAAGGTCCCCCTGAGGCCCCTTTTCTCCAGGCTGAGTCCTTTCCCAGCTCCCTCAGCCATTCCTGGTGCTCCAGCCCCTTCCCCAGCTCCATTCCCTTCCCTGGACAAGCTCCAGCCCCTCAGTGTCTTTCTTGCAGTGAGGGACCCAAAACTGAGCCCAGGGTTTTGCCCTGCCCTGTGCTGAGCAGAGGGGAGCAATCCCTGCCCTGCTCCTGCTGCTCTTCTGTTCTAAGTGCTGTGTAGCTGATAATTCATTTATTTCCAGTCTGTGGGCAAATAAAATTAGCTAATTATTAAAAAAAAAGGTAAAACTTGGAAAATAATGAGTTGTTCAGGTGGCAGTAGAGGAATGTTGGCATTATTTACTGATGGGTTCTGGCATCTCCCAGCTCTGGTTGTGTTCACTGAAGCCCACTTTGGAAAATCCTTATGAAGGAGTTATCCATAAGAGACAAAACTGTGTTTAGCCTGGAATTAGCAGTGTTGGTTCTGGCAGAGAAGGGAGCTGAGGACACAGGAGGTAAAACCCAGTGTCCTGCAGCCCTGGAGCAGGCACAGGCACAGCCAAGGGGCCCCTGTGTTCTCCACGATGGAAATGCAGCTGTAAAACCAAGTTTAGAGGAACTTTTTGCTTTGTGGTGCTCCCTGAGAGCTGTTTGTGAGTGCTCTGTGCCCTGGCAGGTTGTCATCCTCCACCACATGCTGTCCAAGGCCACGGTGAAGGCCAGGCCCTCTGTGCTCTGGTGCTACAAGAAGGAGCTGGGCTTCAGCAGGTAAGAGAGCCCTGCATCCTGCTGCTCCCTGGGCAGCCAGGGCTGCAGGCTGAGGGGAGGGCTGGGAGGGGAAGCCAGGGCTGTTCCTGGAGCAGCTGGGGCAAATCTGCGCTTCCAGGAGTGAAATCCCACAGCAGAGCTGGCACTGGCAGAAAATACCTCTGGTTTTTCTCCTTTAGCTCTAACACTGACTCTGCTACCCTGGGCCAAACTCCCTTTTTAACCTTTTTTTAACCTCAAAACTGAGGTTCCTCAGCTGTTTCACCTCAGTCATATTTAGGACTGAGCTCTGACTTCCAGGCTCAGCCTGAGCACACTTCCCTTAAACCCTTCCCCAAGAAAACTCCTGTATGGTTTTTTTTCCCCTCCAGCCACAGGAAGAAGAGGATGAGGCAGCTGCAGAAGAAGATTAAGAGTGGGACTCTGAACATCAAGGATGATGATCCCTTCGAGCTGTTCATTGCAGCCACAAACATCCGCTACTGCTACTACAACGAGACCCACAAGATCCTGGGGAACACCTTTGGAATGTGTGTCCTGCAGGTCAGGAGGGCCTTGACTCCCTAAAGGGCTCTACAAAAATCACTTGAAACGTTGCAGGAATGGGGTTTGTGGCTTCTGTCACTTCAGTTTTGGTGGCCTTGTTTTTCCCTCACGAGTGGTGTGAGGGTGAGTTGGCCTCGGTGGGAGTTGGAACAGGGCATTGCTTGGTGCAAATTTTAGTGGGAATTAAACTTGGAGGAATAAAGGTTTTAGGCTCTCTGTGTCTTTCAGTAGGAGCCAGCTGCTCTGCTGGACTCTGGGTAACTCTGAGGTTCTTTTTACTGCCCAGGATTTTGAAGCCTTGACTCCAAACCTGCTGGCCAGAACTGTGGAGACAGTGGAAGGTGGTGGAATTGTGGTGATCCTGCTGAGAACCATGAACTCCCTGAAGCAGCTCTATACAATGACCATGGTATGTGCAGCACAGAGGGTCTGTTCCCTGCCAGCAGCTGCATTGAGGGGATGCTGGGTGGGTATTTATTGATTCTATTATGGGCTGTTATCCTCCTTCCATCATCTTTCCTGCTCCTTCATCAGCAGTGGGAGGAGATGGGATGGGATTTGTTACACTCAGGCATTTCTGAAATGCTGCAGATGTGGGTGTTTCACCACAGAGTCAGGATCCTGTCTGGGATGTGCTGTGGATAGAAATGGAGGGATAAAAATGGGAAAGAAGGGGTCACAATCCTGTAAATGTCACTGTCACATTTTCCTTCTGTTTTCTTCCCTTTTTCCTTCAGGACGTTCACTCCCGGTACAGGACCGAGGCGCACCAGGATGTGGTGGGGAGGTTCAATGAGAGGTGAGTGGCTCAGAGTGCAGAGGAGCTGGGCTGGCAGCCCAAGGAGAGCACCAGGAGCAGCACTGGCTGTTCCTGATGGGAAAACATCCCACAGGTCTGCCTTGGAACAGGCCTTATTCTGGAAGCTGGACTTGCAGCTCAGCTGTGGGGAGCTGTGAATACTCAGCTGTGGGGAGCTGTGAATTCTCTGTGTTTAGAAGAGAGTTCAGCTGAACCACCAGGGAGTGCTGCTGCTGTTTTTACTGAGTTTTCTCTGCCTGCCCAGGTTCATCCTGTCCCTGGCCTCGTGCAAGACCTGCCTGGTGATCGATGACCAGCTGAACATCCTGCCCATCTCCAGCCACGCTGCCAACATCACTCCTGTGCCCCCCCAGTCCCAGGTCAGTGAGTGATCCCAGCCCTTTGCCCTGCCACAAATCCCTCTGAGTTGGCACAGGGTGTTAAAGATTTAAAAACAGAGAATGTTTTTTTATTTCACCCTGATTTATATCAAATGATGGCATTGCAGAGAGGAAGCAGAACGTTCTACAAAAATTATGTGGGTGAAACTTGGGGAGCTT